CAAGGGACTTAGTCCCACCCCACCAGCAATAAGAAAAAGGCATGAACTGTCTTCGCCCGCTTGAACACTGGGATCGTGATTTCGAATCCCACTCGAGGCATTTTTTTTATTGCTAGTGGCCGTAGTACCAGGTTGCTTCAGTCTCGCCCTACGAATAATAATAAAATATGGGCTGAATAGCCTAGGTTCGGTTCCCGGAAATGCAATATTTTTCCCTTCTCCATAGCGTTTAGACCGTCTCTGAGGCTCAACTAGGGGTAAAGGGGCCGGGGCGTGAAGATGACCACTCACTTCCATCTAGTCCATTTAGTGCCGAGGTCAGTAACTGTGGAGCTATATCTCCGCTCCCCCCATGTCTTCATGGCTTAGTGCTTAACTAATTAAGTGCAGGGACAACTTTAGCTTAACCTGATCACAAGCCGAACTGCATTCTGTTGGTCTAAGCTTAATATTTAAAAAAGCACCACATTCTTTAAAATGTAAGGACTTAATAGGGTTTGACGTTCTCACGGCGTGAACTACTGGTATCTTGATTTTCTTTTTTGTGATATCGTGTAGCCATTTGGGACGAATATCGACGTTTCGGAGGAACTTGTTGCTTGAAGCGTGTGTGGCTCGATTACATAAGCATATTTCAAGGAAACACTCTTCTANGGCAGTGTGTTCCTCCGAAACGTCGGTATCCGCCTACAAGACTTGCATCATGTCATATGTCAGAAGACCAGAATCTGAATATGAACTTATGCCGTTACGTTTCTTCAGTGCTGCTACTAACATGTGGAAACAGGGGGGGGGGGGGAGAGGGATCTGTTTGTTTGCTTTATTTCAAGTTATACAAATTCTCCCTGCGTTAAACTTGCTAGATATACATTCAAAATTACGTACTTTTGTCATATTCGCAATTTCTAACACTAAAGAAATAGTTCATACAGAATTCAAATTTATTTTTGTGATACGTTACGAAACACAAAGCGAAATATTCGCATTAGTGTCACCTTCTTAGCGTTCTGAAGACCCCTTATGGAAAGAAATTTTTTCCTTTTTTCAAAACTCTATTATGACACAAATTCTACAGCCTTACAACTGAATACCTATCCTACACACCTCACAAATTCGCGTGGCTCTAATGTTGACGGTGGAACTGTTAGAGGTAGAACTATTGGGTAACCACTATTAGAAAGATGTTAATATCAAGTTCTATGAAATCTTTCAGTTGCTTCAATATTATTAAAGAAAAAACATGTGGACGGAGAAGTCTGTTGTATCACCCAGCTCAGTGTAGTCATTTATATGCTGCAGGACTTTAAATATATTGGATCATTAATTTCGTGTTTGAGAGTCAAAAACAGCTAACGCGCCTAGAAACCTACCCGCACAAGCTCACACGCATGAAAATGTGTTCACTTTCTAAGCCTCTCCTTGCTTTTGTTATGATACTGCATATATCATATCACAATAAGAGGATTCTTGTACTATATCTTATATTTCTATCTCTGTTGCTCTCACTTGGAGCACAGGACATCCGTGAAACTCTTTGTCTGGCTTCAGTTTCTGAATCTTAGACAGTCGGTAGGACACATTGGAAGGCGGATCAGCACGTCGCAGGACCGCTACTTACACACAAACACAGAATAAACGCACACAGACATCCATGCCTTGAGTGGGATTCTAACCCACGATCCCAGTGTTCGAATGGGTGAAAACACTTCATGCCTTAGACCGCGCGGCCCCTGTGATCGGCGTTTCTGTCTAATTTTTATGCTAGATTTTTTATTTTCCTTGGCACTACAGCCCCAGTGGGCCTAGGCCTACTTCCATGAACTCTCCGTTCACTTAGGTTTTTCTAGATCTTACACATTCGGTAGGACAGCTTGGGCGGGTGATCAGCTCGTCGCAAGACCTCTACCTGTATACAAACACTGAAAAACGCACACAAACATCCATGTCCTGAGTGGGATTCGAACCCACGATCCCGATTTCCAAGCGAGCGAAGACAGTGCATGCCTTAGACCGCTCGGCTACCGTGACCGGCATTTATGTCTAATTTTTATGTTAGATTACTTCGTAGATAGCCGCAATACTTTGTCTGATATATTGTTATCAATAATTATTTTGGTTGCATATGAAAACTTGATTTTGAACGGCATTCCTTTTGTTTTCCCATATAAGTTGTCCAATTACGTACGCATCAGTACTGTGTAAAGTGGACGGTCTAACTTACCCTAATTGCTATTGACTTATGAACAAATTTGACTGAAGTTCCTGCATACGGACTGAAGTTACGATATTGCATCTTCATAACAAATTTTGCATGCCGTTCGTTCCCATCAAATATTATCTCAGCAAAAGATGCATTTCCCCACTCCCCTCCCCAAGACCTACACATCAGTTTTACTGGAGCTGGTAACGCTCCCACCGCAGAAGTTGACTTCCCACATGTTGTTATTATGGATTATAGGAAATTTGAAGAGGTATTGGGCTTGAGTGGCCGGTGGTGGCATTAAGTCCGTATCGGATTTCGTGGAAATGAACTGACTTGTTCAGAAAATGAAATGGTCACAGACACACACACAACTAATGACTTCATAAGCCTACTTTTCCTTAAAAGAAAAGGAAAATGAACTAAGAAGGGTTTGCTCTTATTTGTTTTACTTTAGGAAGGGTATAATAATAATACTCTGTGGGCCCTACAGTCCATGATGAAACTTGGCCTCGGTTTTAGAGTTTTCTAATCTTATAGGTTTCCTTGGGCTGGGGATCAGCCCGCCGCAAGGAGGCTACCTTCACAGGACAACACAAACATAGAATAAATGTTGAGATATATACATGCCTCGAGTGGGGTTCGAACCCACGACTCCAATTTTTGAGCGGGTAAAGACAGTCAATGCCTTAGACCGCGCGGCCACTGTGATCTGCTAGGAAAGGTACATATGTTTACTGTATTAATATGTCCGTGTCTTTGTTCCCGCTAATAATAGTGAAACGAATAGATTTTCACGAAACTTGATACGTCACTAGGAGGCCACATAGTACTTTAGATGTCCTGTCGTAAAGGACATGACGGATTTCCGGGCCGTGCTAACTTGTGATACAAAACTTTATGCAGTTTGCGTGGCGAGGCATGCTGCAACCCAGCAACATGGCGGGCGCGCGTACTGTTGGCGACAACTGGGACTAGGATTATGAAGCTACATAAGGGCGAGGTTTAACATTAAATAAATTTATGCAAAATATACACATTTAAGTTTACAAACATGTTGACGGTTTGATTTTGTTTGAACACGCATTGATGGAAAATATGCATGGAAATCAGCAAATAATTTTATAATTTTAAGTTACACAATGATCGATGTTCTGGACATTATCTGTTCTGTCGTATTTCTTTTATGTGAGATGATGTTTCGGAGACGGGACTCTGTCTCCGTCCTCAGGAAAATCTAAATCTTTGGGCATAACTGATATAGTCCCTAGTGACTAGAGTCAAGTTCTCCGAAACGTCGTTTCGGATACATATTACGACGCTGGATATGACCAGAAATTTTTCACTTTTTAATGTACAATGTCACAAACTTCTGGTCCATATTGATTTAGGGTTCTTGAGAGGCTCATGCCGTTTCACGAGTTCTTCTCGGAAATTATCCTGGTTTTGACAGTGGTAAAATACCTGCGAGTGAGAAGCCGGGAGTGGTAACTTCAGATATTACAGGGGACAGAGAAACACGAAGACTGCAATGACGCCTAGTTGCTTGAGAACGGCTGATGTTCTTCATAGTAAATCTTGCGTTCTCTCGTATTTATCTGATCTATCGGAATACGAAACAAGAGCCTCCTAATAAGAACCCAAACTACTACTATTTGTCCGAACTATGCTGAATTCAGCCGAAATACAATGGAACTTTCAAGTAGATAGTGTGAACGCTGTAAGAGAAACACACTCGAGTTTGGTACGTTTCAATGTAATTAAAAATGAACCAATAAAAGTGAAAATCCCGTCCCTTAAATTATTTCTGTTCCCCAAATCTTACTCCTGAAACGGTGGTGAGTTTGTATATGTTAGAATGGTTTAAGGAAGCAATCCAAGTATATTTATGTTGAAGTTTATGCTAAAATAAAAATTGCGAGTTGTAACAAGGGCCTATTTAATATTATAACTCAAACATTTGCCTTTTACTAGCAGGTTTCATTGGAATTTGTACAGATGTATAGTTCATATCCACACGGTTGCTGCCTGAGTATGGGGTGAATTTAACTGCCGGTTTGACAGATAGCGAAACTAAGAATAGATCTTGCAGTAGATCGGAAACTTCAGAATTGTAAATAATAGAGAATTTAAATGGTTATATCGTCCTTGATAGAAATAAGGCCAATATATGTTTGTCATCTTACAAGCATTATATTCCATATGTTTTTTTTAAGGATTAATAAAACAGACTCTTGGTTGAAGACTCAGCCGCTACAAAATTTCCTACAGCATTGATAAAAATAGCACCACCAGAATCACCAGCTGAGTGACTGTTTTCTGTAAGGGAAATTATAATGATTACTTGAAAGATACCTGATTTTTGTCCACTTTTCTTTATGTCATAAATTTAAAGTCAACATAAATGCAAAGGGGCCCAAAATATGTAAATTATCTTGTGTTGCTCGAACGACAACCGTTGTGCCGCCTTTTTAATTGACTTCCCTGCCGTTCGATAAGGTGGCTCTGGCATTCATGTCACTAGCACCATCTTTTGAGAGAATATCACACTACACACCGTACATTGTATTTCGTGTCAACTTTCAAAATATCCACAGATGACCTCTATTAAAGTCTGTATACATTTTTGGGCCCCTCTCTATAATAATCATGGCTGGATGAATGATACAACGGATCTGAAATCTAACACAAGACCTGTAACAGGATGAAGCAGTTTGTATGCGACCTGCTCATACTCCAAGATTAAACTAGATGCCGCTGATGAGTGCCTCGAACTGAGAGGAACTGTAAAGTAGCTTACCGGGGAGGTGTAGTCCCCTGGCGAGCGAGTGAGTGGTTGCTGTTCTTCTGTCTGTCCTACCGGCTGCACCGCCATCGGGGGCAAGTCCAGGAGAAGCTGTTGCTGGAGCTCTTGGTGTGTCGCCGGCGGGCTTGGGGGTGGCGGGGGTGGATTACTCAAGCCTCCATCAGGCCCGGCTGCAATGGGAAGACTCGGTGCAGGTTGGGAAGAATTGCTTCGGCGATGTCGGCTAGAGAAGTGGTCGAAGTTGCGGTAACATCCGACCTGGTTACCCCGGGTAGTTGTACCGCTGGCGCTCTCGGCCTCTGTGCTGTTTCCATCAGCCTGGGACATGTTGTGGCCTGATCGGGGTGGGGGACACTCAGTAAGACACACATCAGATACTGCGTTCAGATGTACACACACAGCACACCACCCATTCTTCTCATTCTCATTCTCTCTTCTTCTCTCTCTCCGCCTGTCCCGAGATCAACTCCGTTACAAATAAAGAACACGCAAACAAGAAAAGGCGAAAGTTTACGACACAAATATTAATTTCTTCACTGAGTCTGCAAATGAGCGTACCGAGCCACGCTAACCTGGAAAACTCTGTTGAGAGTGCAGCATAACACAGTGCACGTCGGTTTGCATCTGCGTTGTCTATGTCACGTGGGGTAACATGTGTCTGAATTACGCTGCAGTTTGTGTTGTATATGTCACGTGGGGTAACAATTGCCTGCCTTACGCTGCAGTTTACGTTGTATCTGTCACGTGGGGTAATATCTGTCAACCTTACTCTGCTGTTTGCGTTGTGTATGTCACGTGGGGTAATATCTGTCAACCTTACGCTGCAGTTTGGGTTGTCTATGTCACGTGGGATAACATGTGTCTGCATTACGCTGCAGTTTGCGTTGTCTATGTCACGTAGGGTAACAATTGCCTGCCTTACGCTGCAGTTTACGTTGTATCTGTCACGTGGGGTTATATTTGTCAACCTTACGCTAGTTTTGCGTTGTGTATGTCACGTGGGGTAATATCTGTCAAACTTACGCTGCAGTTTGCGTTGTGTATCTCATGTGGGGTAACATGTGTCTGCCTTACGCTGCAGTTTGCTTTGTGTATGTCATGTGGGGTAATATCTGTCAACCTTACGCTGCAGTTTGCGTTGTGTATGTCACGTGGGGGTAATATTTGTCAACCTTACGCTGCAGTTTGCGTTGTGTACGTCACGTGGAGTAATATTTGTCAACCTTACGCTGCAGTTTGCGTTGTGTATGTCACGTGGGGTAACACCTGTCTGCTTTACACTGCAGTTTGCGTTGTGTAAGATGTGTGAAATAATATTTGCCTGATTTACATTATACTTTCCATTATGTACGTTACATAAGGTAACATCTACTTGTGTTACACTGCAACTTCGTGGTGTGAGCCTGTGTACCACATCGAAGTTTTCTGTTAGATATGGCAGTTTGTTTTAAGTTTTCCTCTTTGTCTTAGCACGTTACTGTACTCCGTTTTGTATATTTTGATATTTTCTGTTGTAAAATATCTCTGCTTGTTAAATAATTCGTTGTTGCAATGGATAATAAAAATAATACACTATTTATATAGCTTTTAAGCCAGTTAAGAGAAGGGATATGAGTTCATGTTAACTGCGCTCTTGATAATTTTATTTAACTCGAGGATGTTTAAAAAGACTTCTCGAATCAGCGATGCTGGTGTAGTGTAAAATTATACGTATTTACATTCAGAGTTCTCCAAGTTTGGTTTACATTTGCCGATAAACGCAGAGTCAAATCAGTAAATCCGTCTGAGTTACTGCTACTTCTCTCACAACACATTCAGGAATTCACGGTATCAAAATTTTACGCGAGATCCGAGGCTTCTCTGAAAACAGCGCTAAAGAATAGCTCAAGATAAAATTTGGGTGCTTCATCATCACTTAAATTTGTCAGGTTTTTAAAGTATTACGTTTATATGGAACATATCTTAATGTGCAAGGACGGAAATTTTTCAAATTTTCTAACACGATAAAGTGAAAATTGTACGTGATCTCAAGGCTCTAGTGAAGAATGTCCTCATCGGTACAGCAGCTGAAGGGCATGCAGGATCTCTGTCTTGAGGCAAACACGGTTCAGTTGGAGAAACATATGCATTGGTCCCCTAGAAATGTTCATGACACAAAGAATATGTACATAAGACCTTCCATCATAAATACTGTGAAACGTAAGCCTTCAGGAGCGAGTTGGAGGCTTCGGGTCCACCGTCAGAGTCGTATCAAGGGCTCTGACGGGAGCCTGTGGGGACTGTCCCTCCTCGCATCAGCAGTCAGAACACACTTGTCACCTGAGGAACACAATACACCTTAACACATACAACTTTACACTGCAAGCAAACACTGTGCACCAGGCATGAAGGTTGTGCGAACAGCAAAGACAGCAGGCTTTGCTATGGAGTAGAAATATCTGACAGGCGTGCGCACAAGGGTCAGAAGCAAGTAATTTCATTTTATACGTACAGAGGGCATGATAAGTCACGTCCCATCTGTAAGCAAGACTGCAAATCATTGAAACTCTGTTGAATATTTGATCACACTGCAATTTCTGCTGGGCAGGAAGGGCGAGGCTGTAAGTTTGAACTGACATGCCGTAAAACAGGCCTACTTTTTCTATAAATTGGCCGGTGACTTACGACCGGACGCACTTATGACCCCCCAAAAAGTAAAATATGATTAAAATGAAAAGTTTTTAAAAATAAATTATAAAGATGATAAAAAGATTAGAAAGGTTATAAAATACTCTTAATAAATATATGGCCGACATACGACCAGATCGACTTAGGACCTGTCAGTCAGAATGGAAGTCTGTCGTAAGTCGACGACCAAGTGTTCTTTATTTACTATTCCGAGTGTTTCAGACACGAATTTGGAAGCATCGTCCCTTAACTTGAATCAATTTATGTATTCCATAACAATATGTCCGCAAAAGATGTTACAAATTTCCCAATTTTAGGGTAATTAGCTAAAAAGCAGTAATTACCTGTAGTTCTGAGGGAGGGTATAAGGTGACAATATTTTAATTATATACAGATTTTACGCTCATGTGACGAGAATAAGGCGACAGGTTGTAAAACACGGACAGACGGACAACACACTGAGCAGTATGAGTTACGTCATACACAACATTGTGTATGCTATAAGACTGTATGTAGCCTAGCAACGTGTCATGTCTGTGGATGGTAACAGAACGTTCACCTCTGCTTAAGTGCGAGTCGTGATGAGGGCAGCGTTCTTGGATCCTGTTTGCGGACAGTACAAAGTAAGGAGGAATACTGAAATGAAATCAGATTCACACAGTGCGAAAGAAGTCAGTGAAGCAACGGTAGGCCGATAGTTTATGGAAAATAAAATAGGGTTAAGGAAAGCATGAGGTTGTCAGAATTCTAGAAGGGACATGGCTCACTGAAGAAACGTCAATGGATGTTATGAATCTGATGCAAAGAACATGAAGATATACTGGATGAATTAAATATTTATTTCTCAAATGAACAGGCGGTAACAGGGAATGAAGAGTCGTTGCTCTTCCCAAGAACTACTCTTCGCTGCAAACCAGAAGGTTCGACAACAGCCGCAGAGACGGGGGGGACTTGGGGCTAGTCCGCGGAGGACAGAAGCAAAAATAAGAACGACAAACACTGGATGACCACTTACAAATGTTGTATTGTCAAATTTTAATTGCTCAGGAATTATATGAAACTTAGGGTCTCAACTCTTGTAAAACATAAATTGCTTCAATATGTATAGAAATATAATACATGACACAAACTCCGTCCTAAGTGTAACAATTTATTGTAGTTCTTTCGTCTTCCTTCCTTCTACACTACATGTTTCGGCCTTAATGGCCATCATCAGGTGTATACTCTTACGTAGCTGCTACACTGCACGTAGTTTAAAATTTAAAAAACACTAGTCTTCCTAATTGTTCATTTCTCCGTTGCTAACAGGTTTAACACGTGTTACAGATAAGCAGATATATTTTGTGTATGTATAATAAATTGTTTTGGAGGCTCGTGATGTAGATGTAGCAATATTAATGTTAATTATTTAGTCGGTGCCTCATCTTACGAAGTATTGTCCGTTCTGTAGAGAATGTAAACGACTATACAAAATATAGAATACTCCAATTTGTTCGTGGGAACACATCAAAATCACAAAAACCAACAACTGACTCGATGATGTAAAACATCAATCAAAGAATTCTATTCTTGTTTTATAACTTTTGTTTTATGTAATTTAATTTATTGTATTTTTACGCCAAATATTTTAATATTGCTTTCCACATCGCAGTACAACAGCCGTTCAAACCACTCTGGTCACGCCTGTTGCTATACGAACTTGAACCATCTCGAGCATCATTTGCTCTGTGCTTCAAGTCGCTGCTGATGACGCTGCTTCCGGCATCAGTTTTTGGTGTCTCTCTTCGTCTGATGCCTACCCTTTGAACTGTAAAGCAAGGGAGGCCCTGCCAGTAGCTACGCTACCGCTGGTATAGCTCTCAGGCAAGAAGTGGCCGCAGTACAAGGGACTTAGTCCCACGCCACTAGCAATAATAAAATGGGGAATTAGCTAGTGTTTGCTATATCAGTGGAGTACTGGTACTTGCATTAACAGTCAGATTGTTCTGAAAACAAAACCTACAGTAAACGAGATGGAATTACTCTGAACGTTAAAGCAAGCAGTGGGTTGGGACGTGAGAGTGCATGACATACTCCACGCAAATTATGCCTATAAACTCGTGCGATATATGTTGTTTAGTCTCATCGGTTGATTAGCCGTGCTGTTACGGCAACTTCTCCGACAGGGCTGTATGGCGTGCAGCATAGAAACAGGCGTTTCGTCCACCCATGACGGATTTACCATGATAGATGTTTCCTCTGGAGACAAACAAACCGGAGGGGCAGATAGAAGTGCCCAAAAGACGGGGAAGAAGACCGAAGAAGGTATTTTAATTGAAGGAGAAAGCTTGAGATCGCATTAAGTGGAGGAACTGTTTTGGAAGAGACTGTGGACCTGTCGTCTGACAGATTACTGATGAATGAATGAATTTTAATATAATTAATTTTATTGTATCCAATTTTTTAGTACTTCAGTTCAGTGGTGTATGTATGTTAGCCATGTAATTGCCTGATGATGGCCATTAATAGCCGAAACATGTAGCAGAGCCAAACTAGGCAATGACCTTAATATTATTGTTTTGACGGTTTTAATAAAGAAATTGTATATTATAAAACAAAAGGATGTATGAAATGAAAATCTTTTCTTCTATTGAGCAGTTCTATATTTATGCACACCCTATATTAATTA